TAAAGAGTCTTTTCCTGAACTGACTTTTTAAATGACTTCTGTGTTAAAACAGGAAATACACTTAAAATACATAAATATGAAAATGAAAGCACTCTAAGCCATCTAGGAATACTCAATTCCTAAAATATTAACATACGTTGAAGTCACAATAAACACACACATCACAAACTGCAGATATTTTTGCAAGACAGGGAGAAAGGTGGAAAGCAGGGTAGGAATTGCATGCATTAGTGAAACTTCTTTCAGTGATTAAATAGATTATTTTGAATTTTTTATAGGAAGTTCCAAATGGCACCAGTTTATAAATTGTCTTGGAAGGAAGGAAGGAAGGAAGGGGAGAGAAGGAAGGAGAAATGACAATGATATCCAGGGCTGGGGATTTAGCTCAGTGGTTTCGCTGCCTGCTGTGCAAGTGCAAGGACCCGAGTTCAATCCCCAGTACCAAAAAAAAAAACAACAATGATATCCATTTTGCATTTTTTTCTCCGTGTGAGCTTGCATTACTAAACTTAGGCTGCTTACAAATGAAAAAAAAGCAAGCAAGCAAGCCAAAGTCACTTCCATTGATTAATTTCTCAGCACCTCATATAGTATTTAACATACAGAAGGTACTTATTAAATGCTAATATGTGAGCCATGAAAAACAAAAAGCAGTTCATGTACACATGGTCTCAGTATTATAGACAATAAATTCTGACCTTTGAATCCATGTAAAAGATTCAATGGAAAAAATTTTTTTAAATGAATGCTGCGCTAGGTTAACAGCTGAATTTAGTTTATATCTGAAAAACAAAAGAAAGATGGGAATGAAGGTAGCCAGCCGTGCGTAAAAAGAACCAGGTCTCTCTGTATTACAAGGAAAACCAGTCAATGTGTGAAACACGCACACTCATTTATCATCTTCCTAAGTCATAAAAAGCTCTACCTTCTTGTTAGCACTAAGCCTTAATGAGATTGTGTTAAAAGATCTGGTTTGTCTCCCTTAGTTAGTGTTTTCTTAAGGGAAACAAAAAGTAACAAACAGGAACCCATTTTATTTCAGCCAGACGTGGTTTGGGTATCAGGGAAATGCTGTTCTGGCTGCTGCTCAGTAGCTGCTGCTCATCTGCGGGAGCCAGCTGAGCTCCTGACGTCTGAGGCTCATCAGAATGCAAACAAGAGAGCAGGACAGGGAGTGAGCATCAGCCCTACACCCACATCCATTAGCCAAATGATTAAATCCACATCAGCCCTGTGGTGTAATAAAGCAACCGTAACAGGGCATTGTTACAGGATCAATGTTTCCTGGTTTAAAAATAAACATCAGCATTTATCTAGCAAGAGCAAATGATGCTCCCACCACACTGTTTTATTCAACTGACATCTTTTAATCAGAGCAATCCATATTGTGGCAACATTCCAAGATATCATAATTGCAAATATTTATGGCAAGTTGGATAATAGCTATATTTTTGTTGCTTTTTATTCCTTTCTACAGATTTTATGCAGACATTTTCTAAGGAATTAATTCCATTAAGGAAAAAAAATCTAAAGTAATTATATTTGAGACAACTTTTCATCCACCTCCACTGGTTTCGCTTTTAGCTATAATACATGGCTGTTTATTTGTGCTCTTCTGTTCTACATTTTTCAAAATACCTCTGTAATGGGAATAAACGTAATGAAACCTCTATTTTCAAGTGGTTCGTACACAGCCACAAGCCCCCCAGGTCTGGGTGCCCCAGCACGGAGGTGGGTGCCCAAGTAACTTTCTTGACAGCTAAGCCTTGTGTGCTGAGTGTGCAGCTAATGGGGTTCGGAGACTGGAGGAGCACTGAGTCCTGCCACAGTGCTACTCTCAGCCTCCCAACCCTGCCTCTCGGCTGAAGCTCCTTATCATGGTCTTCTATCACTTGGTCCCTCTGATGATTTCCTGGAGAAATGAAGTGCTAATTCAGGAAGAGGACTGAGACACCAGCAGCTTGTCTATTTTCAAACCTCAGCAGGCCACTTCTGTAATGCCAGTTTTAATGAACTGTTCTCATTCACATTTAATTTGCGAGTTATGTATAAAGCATTCCCATCAACACCTCACTGAGCCAGTCTGGTAATTTTCTTTCTAAAGCCCCCAAATTCATTCCCCAGGAGCATCAGGCAGAGATGCTCAGGTAGTGAGAAAATAGAGAAGGCGTATTTCTTCACTGTCTGAAATGCGTTCAGCTTCCAAAAGAAAAAGAAGGGGCACCTGAGCCGGGGTCCTAATTCTCCCTGCGTTAGCTTGGAAATAACTGGGCCAGGTGTGGAAGTGAACACAGAAAAGCTGCACAGGTGGGCAGAGGGGATGAGGGCAGCTGCCCCCTCCAGGGATTTCAGGGTTAAGAGTGAGCTCGCAGACCTTCAGAGGCTGATGCAGCTCTCACCAAACATTCGAGTTCTAAGCAGGTGCAACGGAACGGCCAGGTGCCTTCACCCCTGCCACACAGTGCAGGGCCCTTCCTGGGGTCAAAGCTGCTGCCCAGGCTGAACTCAGCACACAGGCACTGGAAATGCTCTGCACAGACGGGGGCCACTGACAGCAATGCCCTTTGAAGGGTTTTTATCAGAGCAACTGTGTGTGAGCAGGGAAAATGCCTACGCCAAGCCGTCAGGCCAGGGAACCCTGAGGAACCAACTTTGCTGGCCATTGACCGTGGACTGCACTGTATGCTCTCAGTGATGGCCTCATTGGGCTTGCGGGCCGTGCCAGGAGCTGCACCCAGCCACCCACACTCCGCAGGGACGGACGCTAACACAATTCCATTTCTGCCCACCTTGAAAGCAATCATTCTCAGCAACAGCAAACATGGCTCCAAGTGTGGGTAAGATAACTTCCCTCTCAGAAGTACCTTTCAACTAATCCCAACGTTTTTCTTCATTGTCTTCCCTCAAGCCGGGCAGGCCCAGCAGGAGGGAGGGATGGCCCCGCTGGGGAGTTGTGGCCGCCATGCTGGGGGTCCGGAGGGAAGCAAAATGTAATTCACGTGTGGGAGGTGATATGGCAGGCCCAGGCCCTTCTTTCTTGATTATTTTTTTCTTCTTTTAAACCAAGGGTTTCATAAACCATAACCAGAAATTTGTACATGGGCCAGTTCTTTTGAGAAAGAGCTGAAAATGACAAATGGTACTGTATTTTGGCATGGTTTCTGAGTTTACAAATACAGATTTGTGTGCAAAAATATAGGCACCATTTGAAAACTGTTAAGCTACACGCTACACACACACACACACACACACACACACACACACAGCCTGTTTCAAATTAATTTGAAGGGCTATTTAGCTCTCAGCTCTCACTACATTCAGCTATATCTGACTCAACACAGCCTGTAAGTTGGGCACTGATATCTTTCGAAAGCAATTCTGCTCGTAGGATTTGTTTGGAAGCGTTTAGGTTTTCACAGATCACTGGAGCTTCATTTCCCCCCCTTCTGTGTTACGTACCTATAAGCCGTCTCTCTAGGCATAGACTGTCTACTGGTAAAAATCAATTTTGATTTTATCAATATTTATTACTGCTAGTGCCAGTGGTTTAAAAGACTGGAAAGGAAAAACATGCAAACTAAGAGAAAAAAATTAAAGCCAGGTCCTCAGACCTACAAATAATTCGGCCTGCTGTCTTTAATAGACATTTTGTATCATGCCAAGAGAGTTTAAATGATCAATTTAAAAATTCAATCAATAAAAACCTGCAAGGCTCTGATGCTGCTTCCCCCTCCTCCGGGAGCACACTGGCTGGTGTTTCTCAACCCAAGGTGCCCAGCAGAACTGCTGGAGGGAGGGAGGTCCTCCCCCTGCTTCCCGGCCAGCACTCACGGGAGTCCAGCCTGCCCTTCCCTCTCTGGGCACCTCTTCTTTGCCTGTCAGGTTTCCTCCTTTGGTCATTCTAGGAAAGGCTCTCATAAGGTATCACATGTCTCCATGTTCTCTGGAGAGCATGGGACCTCACCCCATCCCTGAAAGTGAGCAGCACTTGCTCTACACACATCCTCTCCCCTGGCACATTCTCTGTGGACCAGGACGACTCGGAATAACCCACATTCTGCCATGACCCTGCTTCTCTCCCTCTGGAGTATCCTTCCATCACTCAAGAAGCAGCATAAACTAACACATGTCCAGCCAGTTCTGACCTCTACAAGGGAAACAGACTGCAGAGCAAGATCAGTGAAAGGGAAGAGAAGATTTCTGCTTTGTTTTTGACAACTTTGCATTTTAAGAGTTTTTGGTTTTGTTTTGGTCTTTTGCTGCAACCAAAATCTGTGCGTTCCCCAAAAAGCTGAGTTCCCTTACCTTAAAGGTACACAGAACATCGTCACCAAGACCTGCATGGCAACAACCTCCTAGGCACTCCGAACCCCATCAGCTGGCTGTCCTTAGGAACACTGTTTTATCGGAACACAGCTCTGTCTTTTGGAATAAGTCTGCGGACCCCTACACGGGGCTGTTCTGCACCCCAGGTACTGCTACGGGCCCCAGGAATCACTCTCCTCTCAACCCACCTGGGGGTGAAAGCTGTAAGGAGACTCGTGTGCTGCAGAGACTCATTTGCTTCAATTAGCAAATTTTAGTTCACATACTGAAAATTAAGTGACAGAAGGCATGTGCCTCACAAGTCACTTACAGGGGTCACATGGAAAAGGCCTCAGGGTCTAATAGACAATAGGGTGGCCTTCCCCATCTACACACCCAGCTCTATCCAAGCGGTAGGTGTTTGGTGAAAACCAGGCCTGCCTGACATTTCCTTCAAGAACCCGGGGTTTCCAGCTCCTTACCGAGACTAGCCATAGCCTCCCCTTCGCCAGTCTCACCAAGAGCCAGGCTGCGGAGCAGTGTGGCTCCGAAGAACAGTCTTCCTTTTGCACAGCCCGTTCTCTAAAATCCACGCGCACACGCCAAGGGCGTGCCCAGCACCCATCCCACCGGTCTCTGGCGCAGGGAGCAGCTCCCTGCCCACAGCAGGGAGGGAGGCGGAGGGCAACAGGCGCCGAGGTTTCAGCAGTTTTATTCATCACACTGTCATTTAAAGGCAACCAAAACCACACATAGACACGTATGCATGTGTGTACAGGTAAACCATTAAACATGTTTCTCACGGACGGAACTCATTTTAAAATCAATGTCCCAATGGCAAAATAATTATGATAAAGTAATTCCCCCATACAGCAAATGTGACAAAATGACAAAAGAATTCTTAATTTTGGGGTTTTATTTTTTTCCTTTTAAGATGCTACATAGTTGAACAGAATTGGGTTGGTCTTTTATGGCATAAAATTAATTCACAGTCAGACTCTCCATTACCACTAGATGGACTGGCTGAGGAGCCACCGCACCCCGCCACCAGTGCCCTCACTCCCTGTGACCCACTCATCTGCCCTGACTCCAGGCCAAGCCCAGCAGGCAGGCAGGACAGGCCGAGTTTGGGGACTGTGAGTGAGGGCTTCTCCACCAACAGGGGACCAGAGTTGACTGTCACTGCTGACAATTTCCCTCCCCGTGGCAGCTGTTAACTGACACCCAAACACTCTGACAGCTGTTCCGACGCCAAGATAACCATGCTCCACGCCCAGAACCACCAGAGGCAGAGTGCCAGCCCCAGCAGCCATGGCGGCCCCACCATTGGTATGACATAGCATGGTGATGTGTAGGCCGCAGCATTAACTGTACTCCTGTGACAGTAAGAACACAATGTGAGATGAAATACATTAAATAAGTTAAATATGCATTAAACATCTCAAACAGCATTTCAGTCTCACTACATGAACCAAAGGTAATTCAGCTTGGTCCCTTTAGGAGAACAAAGCACGGGCTTGGATTTCCAAAGCGCCGGGTCAGTGGACCTGTGGCTCTCGTCCTGATAGGCATGCCTGCTGCTGCCCCAGCACAATGCTCTTCGACTTCTGCTGCTCTTCATCAGCCCCAAGGAACCGATGGCTTGGACAGAACTGAAGACGAGGAAGAGCAGTCTGGGTGGGAGTGGGCAGTGTGGGGGAACTGTGGACAGCGGTACACCCCACCACACTGGGCTCCTGCTCCCACAAGCGAGGAAGAGTGTTTTGTTTTAAAAGAGGTAATCCAAAGACATGTACCAAAGCCTATCAATGTTTCAAATGACAGTTACAATACGCCCTTGTGGCATTAATCATGGTTTCCCTTGTCATTAACAGAGATCATTGATTTCCCCTCAATCATTTACTATACATTTTTAACTTTCTAAAAGATTGTTATATTGTATTTGTGTGTACATTTGTGTGTGTGTGCGCGCAGGGGGAGGGGTAATTTAAAGGCAAGACCTGTGAGATGTCATCATATGTTAATTTCTTTTTACACATGGTTATGATAAACTTGAATCCCATGATACGGTGCATCCATCAATCCAATTTGCCATCCACTGCATGCTGCCTTTACAAGGCAATCTTCCCTATAATGACACCAACAATAAAGAACAAAACCACCAGAGCCAGTAGCCGAGTGCTGAGGCCTTCCTCCTTCCCAGTTGCAGCAAGTGCTGCAATGGGGCTGTGGCTCTGTACTGTCTTCCTCATCCGAAGCCCATCTTCTTCCTATGGGAGAAAATGCACATTTCAAAATGAGGTGTACGATGACATGGTCCTGCTATGCTCTGCAAATGGAGCAACTGACTCCTGTAGAGAAGAAAGACCCGCTTGAGGGTACTGAGAAGACACAAGCTGGCAAGGCCCCTCCTTGCTTTCATGTGTCCCACCTGGCGCTGCCAGCTACCACCTCAAAACACAAAGCTAAGCAAGGTGCTCCTGCTTATCCACCATTTACAGGAAAGGGCTCTTCAGAGTTCACCAGGCTCTTTGCAACCTCAGCTGCACCCACCTTTCCGGCCTGTGCCTCTCTTCCTGTATCCAAACCCAATCTTCTACCCTTCCTGCTTCAAAGAAACAGCCTTCCCTAATCAAATCACTGTTGACTTTTAAAATCATAGGTAATTCCTAAAACACACAAGTACAAATCACAAGAAACTAGGAAGTGGGGGAACTGGAAGCTTCCAAAAGTAGAGTTCTGTATGTAATTGGTACTTGATAAGTTACATGTAGACTGCTGGATCAAATAACATTAAATGTGACTGACGTTCATTCACCCAAGTCAAATATTTTCTACTTAATGCATGGATTTCTCATAAAAGAGGCACTATGATTTTTTCGTATATATAAAGATGCCTACACACATCTTCCCTTACAACCAACCCATGGATGGGTAAGGAACAGAAACTTTTTCCTTCCTTTGCCTCCACCCTGCTGCCTTAATTGCCTTGCACTGCCTGAAGACTTTCTAAGTTACTCTACAGACCTCTGAGACCACTTCTCATAAGCTCCAGACCACACTCACATTCCTAACAGGGCCAGTGTGAAGGTCCTTCTGATCTGCCTAGACTCCTCTCTGCAGCCAGACCTCTTGCTAATTACTCCATTTGCTCAACCCTGAATCACACACACCACTTTCTGACACTTTCTGTTCTTTCTTCACTTCTCTCACATTCACCAAGTACCTGGGCACTCCTGGAGTCTACAGGTGATAAGCCACAGTGTGGACCTTCCCTGCCATCTGCCAACTCTGTGAAACCATTATCACATGGATTGTAATCATTTCTGTCTTTCCCTGCAGCCCCATCCACAGGGAGCTAGCTCCTCATGGGCATAGACTGTTCATATTTGAATCTACAGTGCCAGCACTTAGTAGATTCTCACTAAATCTGTTGGCCAAATGAAAGAATGAACCAACACAGAAGAAGAAATCAGTATTTGACAGGATAAAGAATCTTCTAGCCTCAAGACTAGTCTGATAATATTTTAGAGATACTGTTTATGGGGCATGGCCAACAACATTGCAGTGATAAATGACTGGCATTGTTTGATTAACTTCAAAAAATGGGCTCAGCAAAATACAGCACTTATTCTAATGAAGTTATATAGAAGCCATTTCTACCTATTTAACACTTTAAACTCACAGAATTCTATTTCTTTTTTTCTTTTTCATGGTGGGTACGGGGATTGAACTGAGGGCCTTGCGCCTGTGCAGCAGGCAGTGGCACCACTGAGCCCCAGAATTCTATTTCTGAAGAGAAATAAACTCAAAAAGACGCTTTCGGCATACCTCAGATTGTTAGTGCAAAGTATGAGCTTTGTAATTTACGCTGTACTAAAAGGAGGAGCTGAAGGAGGAAAGTTACAAAGGAAGACAATGAGGTCATTTACAATCTGCCAGCCTTCCTATACCCACCTGAGCATCACCATGAGAGAGAAGAAAAAGTCAGCTTAAATGAATGTGTTATATGGACCTGGTGCTTGGCAGTGAAACCGCAGAAACCTACCACCTGCTCAGATGACATCAGGATTAACACAACAGACAGGTCTCAACCTCTAAGCTGCAACAAAAATACCCATGACCAAATGTTCAGAAATAGTCTCTTGAATACCACTGTCTGAAATGGATTCATACTTTTAAAGCCGGAAGGGGCCACAGAAGTATTCAGCAAACACAGGCTTATATGGGGTATTGTGGCTGGGACAGTCTGAGAGCTAGTTTAAACTTGTGAACCGGAGTCATTTCTACCACTACAGGTCTCCAAGTTCAAGAAGCATCACCTGCTGCCCTCACCACCCACTGCAAGCCGACTCGCCACGCCAGCTCCTCCTCCCAAAACAGACTCAGGCTTCCTCTCCTACACTCTACTTCCCTCCACCAGGCCGGCACTGCCATTCCAACCTCGCTCCTGCATTAGCAGTTTCAAGAGCACTGCTGTTCAGGCCTCCTTAGTCTTCAACATTCAGAATTACACCAATGTTAGAAGAGAGCACCAGTCAGTAGTTAGCCTCTTACAGACACTTCCATCCAAGTGAAGGAGACAGAGTGGGGTTTGAAAATGCATGCTCAAAATAACCACTGCTGTTTTTTTCAAGTTACACTACTGGAGGTGCAAATGTTATGATTTTTCTTCCTTGTTTTTAAAAGGATAAGTGTTTTGTCAACAGTTGAGAAATTTCTGCCCAAGCAACACTGGTTCTTAATTTTGGGGGATTCAAGAACCCTTTTGAGAACTTGATGAAAGCTACAGAAATTTCTCCCCAGGGAAGGAAAAATAACCATAAAGCAAAAACAAAAAAACCCTTCAAATTCAGGGGTTCGCGAACTTTCCTACCAAAGAGTCTACTGAAAATGGTCATTTTCTGTAGATGGGAAAGTGAGCTATTGTTACCTTAAACTGCTTGTTCTCCTCCCGAAGCCTCTGGACTTCTCCTTGCAGCCTCTTACACTCTTCCATCACTTTCTTAACTTCAGTGTCATCCAGAGACGAAGTCAGAGATTTAGACACTGATGGTGTTTCTGTCTTTGATGCAGTTGTAGATATAATTTTATTTATTTCTACATCATGCTGTTCAGAAATAAACGAAAGCCCAAGTATCATCAACTATGTAAAAAAAAGAATTTTTAATGCAAAGTATTTCTCAGCAAACACCATACATGGTAACGTTTTACCCACACTGTAAAATGTCACATTTATTTAAAAATCAATCTCTTTATCTGGTATCTAATAATCTAAATAAAGCAACTGGGCCCTGGAAATTATGAATAAGGACAAATAATGAAGTTGGGCTGAGACTAACACTTCAAAGAAAGAGCAAAAGGGCTGTGCATATTGCATTATCAAATTCCTGCCATGCAAGAATTAGCATACTGTAACCATGCAAGCTCAGGAATCATCAGCCACAAATTACTGTCACCATGAAGATCTGACTCCTGGGTGGGAGGCCAGGGAGGACACTCACAGGGTAATTTATCTCACCAGCTTAGAACTGGGGGGCATGGGTAAAGGGGAAGCGAGCTCCCAGGCTGCTGTGCTTCAGTCTGGGAGGCCACACACACATCCCAGGCCCCCGCAGAGACTGTGCTATGACGTCTCCAGGATACTGGAGATAGCCAGTTGGAGCAGGGCGTGGAAATGCTCAGGTGCTGGGGGGAAAGTACCTGAGGATCTGGGGAGCAATCAGAAAAATTAGACATCTAGTTCTATCCTTCACTTCCCAGAGAGAAGCCCCAGGAGGCAAGGTCCCAGGCCACCAAGTCTACCTCTCAAAGAGCTGAGACTGGAATTCAGGTCTTTCACTTCTAACTGACTTTCCCATGGCAAAATATACAATGGAGGACTGGGGGTGGGGAGGAGAGACATAAGTGTTCATTTAAAGAAATAAGATAAAGACAGTGGTCAATTAGAAGAAGAAAATATTACATAGTCTTGACACAAATCAACAGCATTCCTGGAGATCATTATGGATTGTGTTAATAGAATGTTTGAGAACATTTCCATTTCTCAACTCCATCTACTAACGGCCAGGACAGTTTCAGATTCTTCATGGGCTTTTAAATTCCTTGTTTCAAATATAATTTTAATCTTTTTGACTAGGTTGAAGAGAGGTCTAGATAAGCATTTCAAATATTGTTCTTCTCTTCAACTGGTCACAGCAAAGGCAAGAGCCACCTCACCTCTGGTTTCACACCAAGGGGAAGTGAGCTGACAGAGGGAGAGGGGTGCTCCTCATCTCGCAGGGCACATGTGGCCATGTCCAGAGGCATTTCTGGTTGTTACAACTGAGCATGCTACTGGTGTCTAACAGACAGAGGGAAGAGGTGCTGCTCAGCAACCTGTAGTGCACGGGAGGGCCTCACCACAAATGAGCCAACCCAAAATGTTGATAGTGCGATGGTTTTGAAATCCTCATCTAAAAGTTGATTTTTACTGCAGAGGTAGGTGAGGAAAAAGGAGGAAGGAGAGGTGGTGCTGAGGGAAAGGGCTGACAGGACCATTCTGTAAAATGCAACCAAGCGCTCACCACGTGGCCAGTGAGCATGGGAAAATGATTCCCAACTGTTCTCACCCACCGTTTAACTCACCACTCTGTGAAGCCAGAGCAGCATGTTGGGATTCATGACATCTCAACAGCCAACAGGTTGCACTTTTCAAGGTAAAACTGTTTCAAAGGCTGATTTCATAAAGGCCCACTTATTATGACTTCAGCTTATTTTTTTCTTCATACATTAGAGGAAGGAAAATAATTTGCCAACATAGATCTTGGTTTTGCAGGAGAGGGTATGCAAATAAGCATCAGCTTGCAACATTCAATTGCTGTTAACGATAAACATACTTACTGGTTTATCATTTTCTGCTGGCAATTCAAACACACATCTAAGTTTTGAATCCATAAGGTCTTCCGGTTTTGCCTCCTTCCACTAAAACAATTTAAATTTAATAATCAGGATATTATAAAGCTGCTGGAAGAATAATTTTCCAACTATAACTGACAATTTCAGAAAAATGCTCTTAACGAGAAGGCCCTGATGTATATCAAATAAAGAACTTAAGTCTGATGCGATTTCAATATTTTTAACATGACATGATTAAATACGCACTCTTTCCTGAGTATTTATCACACTCCACAGGCCCCAGTCTTGCTGCCTGCCTTCTCAGTCTACCCATGCCCCTCACATTACTGGTCTGTGGGAAGCACAGAACAGCGAGAGCCGGTGGACAAAGTGGGATCCTTCACATTCTGCTTGGAAAACCAGCATAACTGGCCCTCCTTCAGAAAATGCAGTCTCCTTTTGGGGCACATCCTCCTGAGAAAGTCTAAGAAGACACCAACTGGGAGTGGTTTTAGAACCATCTTGCCACCTACCAAAGGAGCATGTCAGCCAGCAAGTCATCCCCTGCCCTACACTGTGTCGGGGCTGACCTCTCTCCTGATCCCCTTGGGTCTGCTGGTGAGGGCACCTCCACTCCTGATTTAACCCTCCTCTCAGCAGGGCAGAATGGGGATCTAAGGTGCTCTGAGAACTACAGACCAGCATGGCAGGTTACAGTACAGAAAAAGGAGGTAACTTTACCCCGCCACAGCCTCCCCTAAACCATGCAGGAGGAAGGAGCTAGAGCAACAAACCAAAAACCAAAAACCAAAAACAACAATCTATGTGTCTGACACCTGGGGACTGTCACAAATTAAGGCAGATCCATTCAATGGGATGGCATGCCGCCACTCAAACAACACTGATGCACATTCAGTTACATAGGGAAGAGCTGCAGAATACTAGGAAATTACAAGCCACCAAAACCCATTCCTCTGTGCACACACTCCAGTGGATATGCGCCTATCTGTGTGTATCAAAAGAGGACCAGGTAAGAGTCAACACTAGATGCCAATGGCACCCCATGACAGACTGCTGGTGAGCGGGACATTTACATGGTCTCAAGGTATCAGATGACTGAGTGTCACAAACCACCTATTAAGCACAATGGTAATAGGTGTGCTTTGTCACTGAGAATCTGTTACTGACCACATGAGACAAGTGATCGAATAGCATCACTAATGAAGGGACACCCCGAATATGAAATGCCTTCTGATATGATGCATCTGTGACATCGCCTAGAGCATATTCTTGTGAAAAAATATTTAACTTGGATTAAATCATTAGGAAATAACCAGATGAATCCAGAACATGAGATTTTCTAGAAGTAAACTAACTTATACTCTAAAAACTTCAAAGTCATGAAAAACAAAAAGGACAGGGGTCTGCTACTAGAATAAGAACAGCTAAAGGCCATTTTTGGAGTAACTAACAAAATGTCCATCATGGACTTTTCTATTAGATAATAATACTGAATTAAGGTTCATTTTCTTGATTATGCTAATGGTACTATGGCACTATAGCACTGTACGAGATTGTTCTTATTCTTAAGTACTCAGGGGTGACATGTCATGAATTCTGCATCTTGCCTGTTAATGGCTCTGCAGAAAAGAAAGTTTATGATAGAAAGGAAGCAAATGTAGCCAAATTTTAACAAATGGAAAACCTAGGTTAAGCTGAGTGGTTACTGCGCAACATTTTCTACTTTGTGTACACCAAAATAAAAAGAAAAATATCTAAAAAAAAAGCACAAGGCTCTCGTTAATAGTGATTAGGTCTAGGATGAAAGAACTACAAGTCATTTTTAGTTCTAGCTTTTGTTCATTTGTGGATTTCCAAATTTTCCTACAATATATTTTTGTACAAAAAGAATTTTTTACTGTTACAAAAATAATCACAGTAGAAAGTGAAATGACCCTTTAATGACACTCAGATAAACAAATAGAGATGCTGGGTCACGCATTTAGAAACTGCACACTAATCCTCATAGCCATGTGAGCTGAATTTTTATCTTCATTATATAGGTAACCAAAACCTCAACAGAGTTTCTAAAACTTGCTCAAGGCCACAATGTCGGCAGAAGGCAGAACTCAGCTTCAAAATCAAGATGACCAAGCTCCTGCACTTTTCAGCATGTCTTGCAGTCAAAGCCAGACAGAACATACTCTTGGACATTATCTATTCTGTACCTATGCTTGTTTGACCACATAAATTAACATTAAGTGACACAACATGTTCCAGGGAATAAAAGAGAAAGGAATGAATGCCTCAACAATCATTCTTAGGAAAAGTTGACCTGTTGTTACTGATCTCTCTCAACTTAAAAACATTTGCCTTGCCCTTCATTTTCTGTCCCCAAGTTAAACATCAATAAGATGGTCAGTTATGCTTTCCTAAGACTAAGGGAAAAAGCTGAGCAGAGACGATGGGGCAGGAAGATGCATTCTGCATAAAACAGCCCTCAAAATAAAAACTTTGAAAGATGAAAACAACAGTATAAGCCACGAGTGGTGGCGCACGCCTTTAATCCCAGCATTTGGGAGGCTGAGGCAGGAGGATTGCCGTGAGTTCAAGGCCAGCCTGGACTACATGTCAAGACTCTGTCTCTAAAATAAAATAAAATAAAATAAAATAAAATAAAATAAAATAAAATAACAGTATATTGTAACAGCTAACCCAAATTTGCAAACATCTCTTGAATGACTTGGGTCTGTCTCTGGGCTGGCAAAGCTGGACAGTAAGGAAACTGGGAGGAATCAATCTTGTCCTCTTTTTCTGGACTGTGAGGAGCAGGCAGCCTGTCTCTGATGTTGCAAGGTTTGTACAGTATGATTCACACACTACCAGAATGTTTGTGTTCATTCAAAAGCTTACTTTGGGGAATATTCCACTATAATTTCTTTCTTTTTTTTTAACCAGAAACATCAATAAGATTGCTTATTTAATATCTAAAAATGAAGTCATTCTAATTTTGCCAAATTAGAAGAACAGTTAAACATGTATTCATACAGGAGAGAAAAAAGGGAAGGGATTAGGGTTAAAAAAAAATAGAAAAGAATTGGGCTGGAGTTGTAGTTCAGAGGTAGAGCACTTGCCTCGCATGCACAAAGACCTGAGCTGGAGCCTCAGCACCACAAATAATAAAACAAAGAATCACACCAAGCCAAAAAGGGGGAAAGAAGTGTAAGCTGTAAAGGACTCTTACATCCCTCTGGGTTTGGCAGGACGAAACAGGAGGCAAGAAACATTCCCTACAATGACAAGTTCTCTTTTCTGGGGAACAGGAAGGAGGACGAAAAGGAGCAGTCCTTAATCACTCAAGATACAATCTATCAGGGTAAGAAACTGCTAAAGCAAATTGAATTTATACAAGTCAGAAAAAAATGGTATTCTAGACAACTATATCAAACGTTAAAATTATTCATCCAAGTTTTAAAAAACTGTAACAGTCACCAAAGTATAAACCTAGAAAACACCATTCCCTCGTAAACAATTTTGAAATGCATGCACCCACAATTCTGTACCTAATTGATTTTTGTTACTATTACTGAAAAATATAAGAAGCATTCAGTACTTACTACTGCTTCCATATCAGAAGTGTCAGTTGGAGCAAACATAGACTGAACCATAAACTTGTGTTTACTTTTCTCATTGGGATCATAATCGAAAGGCTGTAACATCACTGAGAAAGAAAATATTTCATTAGGAGGGTCTGAACTTGGTTATCAGAGCCATCTGTCATGCAAATACTTATGCTGTGAGGTAAAGCACTTTTCCGATATTTTCCCATCCAAGCCTTTAGGACACACCTTGAGAAGGAAGAAAGAAAAGATGATAAACCACATTTCCATTTTGCAGGTCACCAACCTAAGGTCCAAAAAGGTAGGGGGACTTGCCCGACATCAGAAAGCAGGCAGTGGCAGAGGTGGGAGATGGGCTGAGAACACAGCACTCAGATTTCCTGGTTCTAGTTCACTAGTCTCCTGTGCCTGCAAACCAACCATACACATCTGCCTTGCAGAACACGTAGGCTAGGTAGGAATACCATACACCCGCTCTGCTCAAGAAAACATATCTATGAAAGATCTCTTCAGGAACTAAAACAGAATAACACAAGACATTTAAAGAACTGTTTCAGCTTCCCTCACAGTTGCCCACACAGCTAGTCAAGGTAACACTTCAAGTACAATTGTGCCAATAGAATGCACAAAAACAGGACATTCATAGAGCAGGAAAAAAAAATATGTTATCAGCTCACACACTACCCTCCTTTCTTCCTAAGATCCTAGAAGAATCTTAAGAAGATCCTGTGGATGAGTCACCTCCACTGCCTCCTTGGGTAGACCAGGAACGAGACCTGTTAAGACAACGGCTGCGTTAAAATGTCATGTGCTACAAAACTTTGGTTAAATCACACATTTAGTTAATTTCCCTAAAAACAACTTCAAGTGCACGGAAAGACTGCCGTAGCCCTGACCATAAGAGCTAACATGGACTGAGTGCTTCCAGGTCCCAGAAACTTGGGGTTTGTTTACTGCTGGATTTTCCCCCCCATCATGGGGACTGAACTCAGGGGTGCTCCACCACTGTGCTACATTCCCAGCCCTCTTTGTTTCTTATTTTGAGACAGAGTCTCACTAACTTGCCCAGGTGGTCTTGAACTTGCAATCTTCCTGCCTCAGCCTCTCTCTGTGCTGGGATTACAAGTGTGAAATATGGCTAGGGCTCTGTTCTTTAGGTCTACTGTTTTCTCACTTAATCCTTTAAAGGTTGGTATTATTGGTGGGGGGTGTTACTTTGAAGCCTGTGTTTTAGCTGAAAAAATTAAAGCACAAAGAGATTAAGAACATGCCTAAGACCACACCACTGAGGAGCACAACCTTAAACCCAGGTCATCTTTGTGGAGAGCTCGAACCTTCACACCCGTGACCAAGGGTGTGTCCTGACCCTCTCAGTCCTTCCCACCTGCCTGGGTTTTCCACCTTTCCTACTGGGTACCCACCAGTGCTGACTTGAAATCCCATCTTAGGGTTTCCCGGCTGCTTCCTCTAAAGCCTCACAACCAACTACTCCTCCAGCAGATAAAGGCAAATACAGTGTCTTTAGCCCCAGGCTATGCGTAAAGAAGCTGGGACTCTACAAAGTAAAGTTGCTCACTCAAGGTCACAATGTCAGGAAGCAGTGAAAGTAGGAAAGGAGTCAAAGCCTTGGGACTGTGAGTTCCACCAAGCAACCTTTCCATTTCACCAGTCACTCTGCCTGATCTGGATTTACAGTGTGCACCAAGGCCCCATGGGCAAAACTTACGGAACTGTACTCAGCAGGGATCAGAAATGCTCATTTTCCTCCGTCCATCTTAGAGAGGCAGGACCTTGAAGACCAAGAAGGTCCATGCACACCTGACAATGCACTGGCTTGAACTGCACAGGTGTACCTAGTCACCAGGCAGCTCTGCTGCCACAGCAGCCACCTGAGTGCTCTGAGCTACAAGAGGCCCTGAAAAAAGACTTCTTCAGGACAAAATTCAACAAATGTTAGACAGCAGCCCTTACATTAACTTAAGGCTTGTGTATGCATGACACCAAGTACATCTACTAAAACAAGAATGCTCCATCTAGATATCCCAAATCTGAATAGTATGACCACCAAGAGGAAACAAAAGGTCACTGAAAAACACAAGGACACTCTCCTTGGAATTTTCTTTCAGGTGTAAAGGCAAGGCTGCTCCAAGAGGCCTTGCTAGTGGTGATGCACTCAGAATACAATGAACTCTTCATCTGGGAGCACCAAGCTAGCGAAAGTGTTCCTAAAGATGGGCCCGAACATCACACACCTGCACCTGACTCTTAACCTCCAGGACCAATGAGCAGACTGGCCAGTCAAAACCGTCACTCTTCTGAAAGCGCAATCTCCACCAGGATTTTCTCCACCCCCGATGGAGACACACACTATAAACTAAGCAGCCCTTCTGTTCCACAGACACCGTGAGCATTCTTGTACAGTGATTATCAACCTTTTTCAGAATTTGGACACAATCTTCACATTACCATTAGAATAAAATTCATTTTTGAAAGTAAAATGAATTGAGTTTTGAGGATATCAGGTCTTGCTTGGACAGAATCAAACTCATATTCTTCAGTCTGGGGGAAAAAAGTGAGCTCTGGGCCGAGGATTTAGTTCAGTGGCACCGCACCTGGCTAGCAAGTACAAGGTCGAGAGAGAGAGAAGAGAGAGAGAAGAGAGAGAGAGAGAGACAGAGAGAGACAGAGAGAGAGAGAGAGAGAGAGAGAGAGAGAGAGAGAGAGAGAGAGAAACTGTGTGGCCCCTTTCTGTTCTTCTCCATTTATTGGGGCAATAGAGCCAACCGTTCCTATTCATCTCTTCGCCACCACCCACTGCTCTTAACCCCAATGTCTTCATCGTGCCCCAAGGAGGAGAGGAAGGAAAACAACTTTTACTAGCACCTGGTAGGTTAGAGCTACTAATGAAGGCACATGCTGTTTGATTCTTCCATTCAGTCTTAACAACAAGCCATCAAAGGAGCTCGTGTATCTATTTTCTAGATGAAAAGACAAAGACCTGGGAAACTAAGTGAGCAGCCTCATTGACACTATATTAAATAATGGAGCCAGGGTTCCAACTCAGTTCTGACTCCATAGTCAGACTCCCATACCACAGGTTCTCAGTGTGTGATATGCAGAGCCTGAAGCTCTGCCTGCCCCAGGTCAGGTGGTACCTGAAGTCAGAACTATGGTCAGAATAATACCAAGACGTAATACACCTTTACTGCTGTGCTGACTCCCACAATGACGATGCAAACACAATGGGACCTTAGCACAGGTTAAGACAGTGGAAACAAATGGTACTCAATGGTGCTGTACTGCATACAACCACACTGTACTGCATACCACCACCCACCCTCAGTTTGATTTTTTAAAAAAGCCTGTTTCACTCAAGAATATCTGTGATGAAGCAAGAGAAATATGAATCTTACTAAATGGAGACTTTTACAACACATCTAATACTCTTTATAATGAAATGGCACTTCTGCTATCCCCTGAATCTAAACGCTGCCATGAGAAAGCACCAGGCAGCTGTCTGGGCTGGGAGCTACACTGGCCCCCTCCCATGGCAAACCCTCACTTGAACAAACTGACAGACAAACTCTGGTTATTTGGACTCCGGTGTGTGGCGTGCATTCTCTTGAAAATGAAGTAACCCTGTCACTTCAAGAAAAACAGTATGTGGTGCTTGCTACCAACACTAAAATCCACGCTTTCTAGCAAAAATTATAATTGTGGAAAACTTATATATGACACCAGAGCTTTATAGTTTTCCAAGTACTCAAAGACTCTTCTGGCTGGGAATGTAGGTCAATATACAGCGCTTGCCAAGCACCACAAAATAAATAAAAATAAATATTCTTCCAATGAGATCAGTGTGAATAGTAATGGATGTGCTTTTTAAAATACTGTACAATGAACTATGTCAACATTTGAAAGATCTATATAACTTGGCTAATCAACAGTCTACACATGGCCCATGGCAATATTACAAAATCCATTCAAAGTTCAAGAGAGAGCAATGTATTTTAGCGAAACAAAATTCAAAAAGTTCACATATGTGGTTTCAGATTCCAAATCATACCAACAACCTTTAGAAAAGTGCCATTTATCTCTCTCAGGTCCTTGCTTCCAAGATGACAAATAAAGGAATATACATCACACCCAAAAGCGCTGCAGCCACGTGTAGCCTGTTCACCGGATGTACAACAATGAGAAAGCTGCGAACTGCACCAGTGACAGCGTCATCAGGAAGCTCATCCTTGCAAACATAGTGGGGTTCACCAGCGGTAAGAACACTTCAACGGGTGTCTTTGTGCCTATATGATTCTCAAGCTGTCTGTGAAGCTACAATGCTACATGAGTTGTCTGTCCCAAGGCCAGTAGTTGAGAATTTGGTCAGGAACCAATCTCATGAAGCCTGGAGCACCCAACACTCCTTCCCCAGGTTTGCCCTGCTGATGCTGCCCCATGACCTCCAAAGTCTGTTAAGAACTAAATCCTTAAGGACTGAAGAAAAACTATCTGCTGGGGGAAAAAATATAATAGAAATCTTTTTTTTTTTTGGTACTGGGGATCGAACTCGGAACCTTGTGCATTCGAGGCTGGTGGCAGAACCACTGAGCTAAATCCCCGGCCCAGAAATCATATTTTTTAAAAGGAAGGAGCAAAGGGATGTAGCTCTGTAATAGAGCATTACATAGCGTGTGCAAGGCACTGCATTTGATACCCAGCACTACAAAAAATACAGTCAAATAAGAAAGTACTACTTGTCAAGATTTGCTGTAATATCAAAGTAGGATGTCTACAATTATCTGAAAAGGTTATTAAGCAGACTCTTCCCTTTTCCAATTCTGTATCTGTGGTGACACATTCACCAAAGCAACACATCAATTATCAGAATGAATACAGAAGCAGATATGAAAACCCAGCTAGTCTTCTATTAAGACATCAAAGAAGCTTGCAAAAAAATGTCAAACAATGGTAGTCTTCTCATAAATTTTTTTCAATAGTTACTTTTCATTAACTATGTTACTGCTAACATGTAACTGATATATTGTTATTCTTAAAGGAATTAGTAATTCTTTCTCATTTAATTTCTAATGATAGATATTAATAT